GCATATATAAATGAACGAGAAAAAACTCGACTCGAATTTTGCAGTATTGACACCTTATCTTACTATCCCATTAGCCGAGAGAAAGTATGTTGGAGAGGAGGAGGAGAAGAGGGATGTTTGATGAAACATATTTTCAGTGCACTTTGCTTATTTTTTTTTCTTTCAATAAGCGAGAAACAACGTCATTCAAAGTCGCAAGGAAGAAAGAAAACTGTATATGCAGCAAAACTTGTATTCTGGCAACAGTCAAAGCAAGCAAACGAAATATGGTCTTATTGAATAAGCACACCGCAAATGTTGATGTGCATACAACATTGCTGATGGATGCTGAAAGCGACTATCTCATTTGTCCGATCACCCTTCCACTTTTTCGTGATCTTGTCATAGGCGGTGATGGGCGGGCACGCATACGAGCGTGAATCAATCATACGATGGATAGAAGAACATGAAACAAGTCATAATCAACAGTGTCATATTCTGCAGTCACAAATACAGTCACGCTGTCACCTATTGGTTGAATAGCACCGAATTCGGAAAGGCACTACATTGGTTTATATGTATATAATGGCCCATCATTCAGCTATGCCTCTTGCATTTGTTTCCATTGCAAAATGTGTTGACCATATGTGGTATAATTTACATAGCTTTGTATGCTACGAATAAAAAGAATACGGGCAACACTAGTCAGAACAGTCAAAGTACGTATTTTATATTCAACTGCTTGATTATCTCAGTAAACGATTTTGTTTAACATTGTTCAATGCATCTCCATGAAACTGTATTTCTACAGCGAAATGAAAGCACTGAACTGTAGATGGTGTAAGGTTAATGTGAATGTGGGTATGTGTAGGTGCATGTTGATATATTAAGCTCTGGTACCGACACCTACACCCCGAATATTCAAAAACTACAGCTTCAACGCATGTATTTTTATTCGAATATCAAGTATCCAAAAAAATGCTTATATATCATAGATAGACATATGTGGGACTGAGTTTTTTGGGTCCTCGCTTCGGTCTTAGTCCAGATCTAGAGAAACCTATTCCATAATTTATTCGTATCTCATCGAAAATGGTTCTTCAATACTCGTTTTTTTTGTTTATTTGGTTAATGACGAGCACTTTTTGGGTCATTTCTCTTTAATTATGTTCTGATTCATTTCATTTATAAGATAATTTGCTTAAAGCCATTGAATGTCTTACAATAAACTTGATTTCCAATGCTGGAAAATGTTTTCTTGTACTTTTGGTCACCGTAGCAGTTCAGATGACCGCGACCAGGACTGAGATCGCAACTGGTCGCGCAAGTCTCTGATCATGATGTGTTTTTATTTTTGTATAGCAATCTATTAGTATGAGGATAATAAATTGATTTATGATCTATGAAAAACTTCATATGAAAAGTGCTAGATCAGATTCGGTTAGTTTTATTTTCATCTCGCACAGGTCTAACTACAAGACAAGTCATAGAATCGAGTTCTCTTAGATACTAGATATCTGAAGAAAAATACAATCTTTTGAGTTCCAAATTCTAGCATATTTTGTGTATTGACCGTTAGACCTGCTCATCGACAAAATTCAAGATGAAAATCTCCTAATGGACTATTTCCACAAATAGCTAGATTAAAGGGTAAAGTGCTCCCTAAAATGGTAATAAATCTAACTGGCTAATCCATGGGCTGAAAATCTTTAGCAATTTTCTTAGTTTCATAGAGTATTGCTCATTATTCAAATACGGAGTCGAATGTGGTCTGACAATTAGATATGCCCCCTCCCTGTCCCCTCGTAAGTGGCATGTACACGTGACATATTATTTGTTTTCACTTTTATCCATGTTATGTTTCCTAGCAAAAACGAAAAATCAAATAAAATCAACAATTGTCAAGTAATATTCTGGCAGGTGTATTTCAAATCATTTACCCGTTAAAATGGCACCTGAGTTTCATGTGAATTGAACATTATAGTAGCACGACAGACTGCATTGACTCACTTTTCAAACGAAGCACGAAATTTAGTTCCAATAAGCCTCCTATTCAAGAAAACTGTTTTAACAATAATAACGCAGTACTACGTTATAATCTTCTTGTAGTATCAGCAGAATATTGGCGTCCACCGATAGATCCCACTGGTACCTTCTCAGTTGATTCTTTATATTCGTTTGAAGACCATTATATATTCTATTCATACAATCACACGGTCATTCATAATAACAAACGTATTGTATTCGATTTTTATGGTACTACAATGGTCTACATCGATAATATTTCAGTTCGTGACTCAATGATTGATCTCGAGCTGATGCAAAATGGAGATTTTGAACCCGGCACACTCGATGACTATAATCCATGTGGTTATCAATCCAACTACATGACTGTCAGCAACTCATCCGCTCAGCAAGGTTTATATTGCCTCCATGCTAGGTGTAGTCATAGTAATGACGTGCAATTATGGCAGAGGCTACATACACAAGTTGGACGTTCCTATGTCGTAAACTTCTGAATTATGAAAGAATACTGGATATCGTCTGGAGTTTCTGTGTATATGAGTACGGGACTTAATTGTCAACCATCTATTTTTGTACTTGTTCTTATGATTATTTGTCTTCATTTTAATTTTCGCGATGGGTGGTATATTTAACTGTCATTGACAACTATTGAGTTGAAATGAAAAACCTGTCACACTTGAATTTTGACGCTCATTTTTACATAGGAATTTTTTGAAATAATACCATGGATGATTCATTCAGCTTCCTCCAACCGTTAAATCAACCACTGCCAAATTCGATGAAACTAATATGATTTGTGTACGGAAAATAATGAACATACCTGTTTGACCTTGAACTCTCATAGACATAAAATACGTTCTTCTGGACGATAATTTTCGTGAATGCTTAGAGCGCGTTTCTGGTTTTTTTTTGTTATTCCGAATTCAAACTTCATTTTCCTGTAGTTTTTCAACAAAAAATGATAGTAAGCGCGGATTTTTACTAAGAAAATCGTCGGATACAAGCAGAAATTCTCTATCAAAGTTAAGGGTAAGATAATATATTCAAATATTTGAAAGCTAAAGAGAATATTTGCGAAACACTACAAAAAAAGTGAACAAACTCGCCTTTTAGTTGAGAGCAACAAACTTCTCGGCAATAAACATTGGTTTTTGTGATGCCAATAAGTTCCAAAAAAAATAATTGTAACAATATTAATTGTTAACTGGCCATTGCTGTGCACCCTTCAAAAATAATTTAGCTGGAAAACGACTCACTACTTAAAAAATCCTGACTATTGCCACTGCTTATATCACATATTCTTTCTCATATTGGATATGACTTCTATTCTTGTCACGTATATGATTAGCGTTCGTAGAGTTTAGCATTGAAATAATCAAGAATCATGTTAATGGTTTATTTGTGCTTGTTCTATCGATGATTAATAAGTATGGTGTTCGATAAAAAAGATCTACTCAATTTATGTTTTCGATCATGTTCGATGCAATGATACTTTTGTTCTGAATATTAAAGTTCCTTTTCAAATTTATGTAACACTACTGGTAACAATAGTTACAGGCGTGCGAACTTTTTTCGACATTAAAGCTGACAAAATTATATCTGAAAGAAACCATGGGTGAAAACTTCCCAAACGGACTAGCTATGATGTCACGTTTTTTCTTTTGCGTTTATTATCGTAACAAAGCTATACAGTACATGTCAGTGTGTAAGTTGCTCTGAAATTGTAAAAATATTCGTTATAAATGTAAATTATACAGTTTTGTAGAACTTGAAATTCTCCATATTTTGATATATATAAATATATGAATATTAAATTACTCATAAAATTGCATTTACATTTAGTTCAAATCATCATGGTTCGTTCGTTTGTTATTCTTTATTTTTTTCTAATTCGAGATAATTTTAGATTGAATCGAGTAATTTTGAGTTATGTATTTTCATTATGCAATTCAATTGTTATTAATCATTAATTAAGACTACAAGAAGGGTATTCTTATTCATGAATAACTGATCACTCTTAAGTGTACTATCTATAAATGTTATGAAACTTACAGTAAGATTATTTGATTATAGCAATGCAAACAAACAAATAGGAAACTATATATCGACGAATGACCTATAGAAAATATTTGCATTTTTTTAAAATCATATTTAATGATTAGTATTCATCTATGAGTAAATACAACTAGAGAAATATGTTGTATTTGCATATTAAATAAAAATATGCAAGTGCAACTCATCTAACTCATTCAATATTTAGAATTAATATGAAACATTTCTATTCGATTCTATCAATTATTATCAACATCAGATATATTAAATGTGACATTCGACTTATCCAGAGGGCATTGCTATGCTTTGTTTCTTGTCTCTGCTTCGATAATAATTGATCAGAAATATTTATTTTGTTTGATGTAAAAAAAAATAACCTCTAAGGCAAATAAATTCAGTCAAATGATTCTTTTTTTTTGTTTATATACTCGTATGCTAAACAACAAATTTACAATATATTTTTTAGCATTAATAAGTGTTTTTAATGTTGTTATAGCATGATGATGATGTTGTCGTAATTATTTTTCTGCTTTTCAATGTAATAGTTCAAGTTATTGTATAATAAATTCTATATCTGCTCTTCGCATCTTGACATTTTCTAACTCGACTTGTTTAGCCTCATGTTTTGATTCATCACGATAGTGTTTATCATTAATTACTGTTAACGCCTTAGAGAAAATTTTATAGAAAAAACAAATAAACAATCAGTCATAGAAAATTTACTTTGGCAATATTTTCTGTACCAATATCTTTTTCGATTGTTATATCTCGATTTTTTATTTGTATTTATCATTTGTAATAGATATTAGATTATCAGAAATATATATTTTCTTCTTTTCTATCTATAACTAAACTGAACATTTTTTTTTTTTTTGCGTTTGGTTTTTAAAGAAATATTCAATACAGACAAAAAGAACAAAAAGGTACATAGAGAGATAAAGGAATTAATCGTCAAGTGATGATTGTGATTCACGATTATCACCAAAACGATTCGATTGAGTTAATAATTGATAAAGTTGTTCATCATTTAAACAACCATCAACAAATTCTTCTCGTGTTAAAATTCCATCTGAATTTTTATCCATCATACGAAATATATTCATTGCACGTTCATCAGCTTCAATTTGCCGTTCTCGTTGATCGTATTCATCAGATATCAATTCATAAATAGCCTTGGAAAAAAAAAACAAGAATATTTTAATTAAATTTTATTCATTTAATTTACACTAATAATTCGTCGCATTTCAGTTTCATCTATTGAACCATCACCGTTACAATCATACATACGAAAAGCCATGTCTAATTTTTTATCAGGTGTTCCTTGAGATGTTATATTAATTGCTTGTAAAAATTCTTTAAAATCAATTTTTCCACTATTATCTTAATAAAGAAGATTTATGTCAAAAAAATAAATAAAAATTATCATTTTAGTTTTACTTATTTACCGGAGTCAAATGCACGAAAGACATGCTCACAAAAATGTTCCGCACGTCCTTTAGGAAAAAATTGTTTATAAATTTGAATAAATGACTCACGTGTTAATTCACCGTTTGGACAATCGGCCTAAAATAAACGAAAAAATTTTCAAAGAAAAAATCGAATTATATACAAATCATACCATAAAACCTTTGTACCAATTTTTTATTTTTTTCTCTGAATATGTTGTATGACTTTTTAAAAATTGTAAATCTTCTTGTGATAATTCATGCTTAGAGCTCGTACAGCCCATCAACAACAGTTGAAATCATGTGCGTTGTAAAAGAAAAATACTAGAAATATAAATGATTAAGAAGTTACTTTAGATTCAACTAAAATATTTCATATATGTAAGCGTTCGGCAAAGAATAAAAATATTTCATAAAAACTATGCGAATGACATCGATACAAAGAAACGGAAATTGCTAGAAACGATAAAGATCTCCTCCTTCTCTCTTTTTTTTCTTGCTCAAGTAGATGAATATGAACGATGAATGAAGTTGATGTTTCTTCCGTCATCGGGTACCATTTAATGCATCAATCGTCTAACATAGGCACTCTGAACAATTTGCATAAACATACTTGCTATCTAGTTTTCGGATAGGTTCAACGTTCTCTCTCACTCTCTCTCTCTCTCTCTCTCAGGACATTTACTCATCTTTCTCTCTGTGGTTTAATGTGATTAGCATTACAATTCTACAACATATACTCAGCACACATTTCTACTTGCTTAAATGCACAAACTTCTTTTCTTAGATGCTTGTATTTCATGATTGATTATTTAGTTCTTATTCAAATAAATGCGAATAGAAATGTAAGAGGAAAAAAAGAAAAATATCGAAACTATGACAATATTTTAATGATCAAGAAAGATCAATATGTAACCATTTATAAATATTGTGATCAATGTATGCCATTCTTGATCAACAAATAGATAATGATTTACATATCAGATAAACATGCTATTGATTTTAACTCTTTTAGAAAAACAAAAATAAACTTTCAATCAGATATTCTCATGTTTTTATTGATAAGAATGTTAATATTGATTATCATAAACATTTATTATTCTAAATGTCTAAAATACAAATAGATACTTAATTCTAACGCCAATAATTTTCTTATCTGGTTGTTTGCAGTTAAATAAACTAATGAATATTTATTTCACACTCTGTTATATTAGTTGTCTGAGGAAGAAAGAACACCGGAAAAAAAAACTATATATCTTTTTTTAACTTAGACAGATAGAAAACGGGAAATATAATCTGATTAAACATATAAAAAAAAAAGGTGCTGATTATCTACTGACATCAATATTCTAATCGATGAATGCATGGATGCAGATATTATTTATACGAGAATCGTCTTAATACAATGATTAGATAATTTCCAATCACTTAACACTTTTTTCTTTGTTACTTCTATTTCAGCTGGTATTTGTCATTATACTAAGAAAAGAAAAGTATAAGAAGTGAAGAAGTTTTTTTTTTCTTCGCCTTTTATTTCTAAACTTGAGATTAAAAAGCACATTCCGACCGGTTCAGCGAAAAAATACGACGAACGGTGAATACTAGTTTTTTCTTTTGTTGCTGCTGTCACATATGCTTTTGTTTTTACGATAAAATCATACATAAAAAAAAAAAAAAAGAAAGAAAAGCACAAATGTAATAACAAAACTACTCGAAACAATTGACCATTTAGATTTCCCAAATGATAAAATTAGAATATGAGTAGAAGTTTGAATCTTGACAAAGAAAACAAGATTTGTTTTCTTTTTTTCTTTTTTACTTTAACTAATCTTACCGTGCTTATTATATGAGCTTTGAAAAATAAGAATCAAAGGATTGTTCAATTAATTCTTTTTTTTCTTTTTGTTGGAAAAGATAAAATATTCATTTAGAACTTAAATATACATAGTCTAGAGCAAAAAACGTTTTAGTTCTTTTTTTTTTATATAGTCAATAAATGCAAAGGGTAAATAAATAATGATCTATTTAATAATAAAAATCTCTTTTTCCGATTACACTCATTCGTCGGTAGTCTATTAATGTGAATGATGTTACTTGTGCACTCTCTCTCTCTCTCTCTCTCCCTAATACCGATGATTACGATCGAAGCAAGAGAAACATAAAACGAAGAAAAAAGAAAAAATAAAGACTAGTAGAAACTAACCAACAATTTATATATTTTCTATTATTAATTGAAAATAGCAAAAAAAAAGTGTGAAAGAGAAAACTCGAGAAAGTGATAATCATATTTAATATAAAAGTTTCTATGCTTTATTATTATTCTTTTTCTACTATATATATTCACACTATCCAATTTCTTAAGTGTGAATAGATTCTTGTTTCAATCGATTCCGCTTTTTAATAATATTCGAAGAAGAAGAAGAAGAAGAGGAAGAGAAAAAAGAGCTCAACAACAACTATCGTTCACTGACTGTCATGACTACTACTCGTGCTTTTCAATAATTGAATAAACCAATCTGTATTTATAACAATACCTTCATCGTTTTTTTTCCGATTCTTATTCTTCATTATGATTCTTGTTGATATGTTGGTGTAGCGTGCACAATGAACATCCGAATTATTGCTAGTTATTTCTTTGATTGACATTATCATAACCATATATATATATATATGCATATATGACCAGCATATATATATTACTAATAAACTAATTACATCTAAAAGTAGAGTAATATAGTTCTAATTTTTTTTATTAACAAATGAACAAGAAATTCTGATTTTTTTTCTTTTTTTTTTTTGTATATCTGACTATGATGATTAGAATATAATTGCATTATACAGCCAATAATAAAACTATTGGACAATGATCTGACCCATAAACATTATTTTGAATAATAATATCACATAAATATTCTTGAAGATTTGATGATAATATAAAATAATCTAATCGCCAACCAATATTTCGTTGACGAGCATTTCGAAAATAAGCCCAATAGGTATAAACATCACGTTTATCAGGATATAGATAACGAACTAAATAATTAAAGTATATTCAATTACTTTCTCAGCATAGGAAAAAAAAAACAGGAGCATAGATTTGATGAACAGTTTCCAAAGAAAAAAACAATGCCAAAATTGTGTACTACAAAATATTTTAGATTGATCTTTGTTGGTATCTTTTTTTTTTATGTTCATTCGAAATTGAAAAAAAATAACTTCAAAATGATATTTACATGAATCAATAAATCCATCAGCAAGAATTTTTGAAAAATCATCTCGTTCTTCTTTTGTAAAACCAGCAGTTTTTGTATTCGTTTTTGGATTTGCTAAATCAATACTTTGATGTGAAACATTCAAATCACCACACCTAGAAATAAATTATTTTTGTTTTTTATTTTTAAAAAGAATTCTTTTTTTCTTATTTAAGTAAATTTACCATATCACTGGTTTTTTCTTATCAAGTTCTTTTAAATATGTATGAAATACTTGATTAAATTTTTGTCGATAAGCTAAACGTACAAGTTTACGACCACTATTAGGTATATATGATACAACAAGATAAAATTTATCATATTCAGCTGTTATAATACGTCCTTCATTATCATGTTCAGCAATATCAATACCATATTTAACATCAATTGGATCAATTTTTGTTAAAAGACCAACACCAGAATAACCAGCTAACATTTAAAAAAAGAAACAATCGATAATTTAATGTAGGATTTAATTTAAATCATAATTACCTTGATCACCAGAAAGCCAAAAAGATTTATAACCAATAGGTGTTGCTTCACTTGGAATTTTATCTTTATCACATTTTAATTCCTAAAATAAAATTAATATGATTAAATAATGAAAGAAAATAAATTCTACTTGAAAACAAATTATATCAGGTTGTTCTTGTTCAATATATTTTAAACCATGATTAGTTAACCATGCACGAATTCCATTTATATTCCATGATACTAATTTTAATGCTGCTTTTTCACCTTTACATGATAAACGATCTGATGTTTTTAATGTCATTGAAGGTTTTGGTTTGATTTCATTCTTATGTTCTTCAATATTTTCTATATTATGATCTTCTTCAATTGATTCAGTTTTTTTTACTTTCTAAATTAAATTATTAATTTTTTTATGCTTAATGTTTTTTTCTGAGAAATTGAAATTTCACTTTGACTGGTGAAGTAGAGGCAGTTCGTTTTTTTCCTTTTTTTATTTGTACTTTATCAATAGATTTTTCATCAGTTTTATCTTCAATTGTAATAATTGGCTTTGAATCATTGTCTTCGTTTGTATTATTTTTATTTAAATTACGTTTAGATGCAACATTTTGAGTTGCTTTTAATTTAGTTACTTTTGACATCTAGAATAGATTTTTAAATGTACTATGGAAGATTTTCTTCTATATTCATAAGAGAATATCATAACTAGAAAATAAAAGAATCGGACAGGAACATAGGACAAAGAAAAAAAAAAAAGAAATTAAATAGTCATTTGAAACTAAACACTAACTCATGTGAAAAACTTCTATTTCTTATTGTGAATTTAATCCCATAATTTTGCTTCGAACATCCAAGGTTTACGATGTCCAAATTTCATTCCAATTCTTGCTTCAGGATATTCATCAGCTTGAGATATTGATGGTGGATCTGGTACTTCTAATTTTGGTGGATGTCGTTCCAATGAACCAATACGAAATGGATCCGATGGTATTGGTCGTTTAGTATCATGCATACGAACCATTGAAAAATAGCCTGGTTCAGGTCGTTCTAAATTCATTTTATCTTTTGCACATTGTTCAAATGCTCTCCGTTCTTGTTTACAACTGAGAGAAAAGAAGAAAAAAAAACAGCAAACTTTGTATTTGAATAGAAAAAATTCAATAAAATGATAAGCATACTAATTAAATGACATTTCACCTTCCCGAGCATTATCAAGACATGTCCAATATGTTGTAAATGTATCATTACATGTATCACGCACTTTACGAAAAAAATCAATAGCACATAATGAAACATCTTTGCCTTCTTTTATACATTTTCTTGGATCTTGTTCTTCCTGAAGACCAAAAAAAAAAAAAAGAAATCAAAACATGATTTGATTTTCAAGTATGACAATATTCGATTAAACGTGAAGTTCTTTACGCATAATTTAAGTCTATTTAAAGTTCATGACTGTCATTTTTTGCCGGAAATGATCTATGATGAAGGAAAGAAGTAAGATTTCTTATGTCTGTCATAAATTCCCTTCCTGTATACATTGTGACACATTTTAATGAGTATTATCTTTTCGTTATCAGGCACGCAATATCATTACATAGTCACTTAAAATCTTTTCTTTTTTCTATCAGAACACCTATGTGATTCAAATCGGGCAAAAACCACCGGTAAACCATTCGACATAATAGGCGTTATAGCAGCGGTAGTTTAATATTTAAATAGTCAGCTATCTTCCGACTGTGATTAGAGATGTGCATGATCAAGTGTTCTTGGCTTTGATAAGTTTAATCTGGTTTCGATCGTGATCTAGAGAATACTGTTCCAGATTTTTTATTCGTATCAAATCTAAAAACAGTCTTCAATAACTACTGTTTGATTTATTTAGTCGACGACTAGTATTTTTTTTTCTCGTCTATCTCTCTTGAATTATATTCTGATGGGTGATTTATATGATAATTCGGTTAAAACCATAGAATATTTTACTAGAAGTTTTAGTTTCAGTTGAAACAACTTACTAACAAATATATTCTCATGGTAGTTTTAATGTTTGAAATTACTGAAGTGAAATATGAAAAACAGGAGCGTTCAGGGTGCGGGTTTTCACCCACACCATTAATATATCCTGTAGAAGCAAAAAAAAAACTATATATAAAATTTGCACAATGTATGGTTAACCGTGCGTACAAACATGTAACAGAGGCAGCGCTATCATGTGCATAAGTTTATGAGAAATTAAAATTATCCTGGTCTAATTTTTCCTTTACAGATATGAACAATCTTAATCTCTTTAGTGTCTTTGGGCTAAAGGAAATGACAGTTGTGAAAGTAATAAAGAGGCTATAGGAAGTAAAAAGGCTAGAGTCCATCAGATTATATTCATACTTGATGGGCTCTATAAGGGACAATGATTAATTAGAGCTGCAAAGGAAAAGTTCGATCAGGATAAGTTTAGTTTTTCTAGAACTTTTCATTATATGTCAAATTTTAATTTCATGAAAATACTACTGAATCCTTTCTATTGAACATTAACGGTAGAATATATCATCCTTATATTTCTGGCTAAACTTATAGACTCTATTCCTAAGCATACATTTTACAGACAGCATTGATATGTATCTTAAATATTACTTTCGAACCTACTATAAATCAAACCGAAACTGTTTTTTTTCTTCTTCATATCATATACAAACCTGTCGACATAACATAAACTCCTAAAATAAAACAAATAGTATATCAATATAATATAATATTGAATAAACCAACTTTAAATTGTAAATCACAATATTTAGCCAAATGAAAACTTCCTGCACGAAGTGCTGGTGAAGATACATTTACAACTGGACATTCCAATTCTTCATATGCAGGCAACTTAAGATCCTGTGTAAAACTCATTCTTGTCTACAAAATTTGAAAAGAAAAACAATACCAATAATACTAAGATCATTTTTAAAAATTTCTTTCTTCTCTTTTATTCATATACATAATTAAGAAAATTCCACACAGACACACTGAATATTGCTTGATAACAAAAAAAGAAAAAAGAAAACAAACAAACAGATAAAAAAAAAATGATCGACATTAGATGTCAAAAAAGAAAAAGAATTGAACTAATCTATTTTAAACATTGGTTTGCTCAAATGATTCAGGTGAAACTAATAAATGTATATGACGGGCCAAACGCACCGTATGCTTCTCTTCAATTATATCTTGAGCAGTACACAAATCGACCTATAGTAAAAATTAAATAGACAACAACAACAACAAACAAAGCATGACAAATACTAAACACACAAATATGTGCTAATTAATTAATTAATTAATTATTATTATTATTATTATAAATAATAGTGATAATAAGTCAATAAGAAAATACTTAAAGCAAGAAAGACAAGAAGAAAATTAGCAATTGTTTTATCAATTGATGAACACAAATTATTTTCACATAATTCTTGTGTATTTAATGCAATTAATTTAAGATAATTTATTGTTAAAAATAAACGAAATAAACCATGCTGTTGTAATTCATTAGAATTTGATCGATCAAATGGTACGATGATATCAGTTAGTTTAACAAGGCAAGGCTATAACACACGCAAACTCATGCTAGAATATATACGGTTCTTTTTTTTTTTTGTTTTGTTTCATGCAAAGTCATTCTATCCAAGCACATGCTAAGTTTTTTGTTTAGTATCTCATCTTGATTTAGGAAACTTACCTCTGGAATACCAATACGACGACTAGCTTCAATAAAATTTTCGACATTTCGTCGACATTTAGCTAAGGAAAGTTTTGGCTATAAGAAACATATATATGTATATATAAAATTATTTATTTTTTTCTATTTTGATTATTTAAATAAAATTCTTACAACTGCTTGTGAAGGCACATGAATACTTTGAACAGAACGTGGTCGAATTTGATTAATAAAATGACATAAAACAACACCATCACTTAATGCATAACTTATATCATCGGGTAATGTCACTTTTAAACGTTCTTCAATTATCTATAAAAAAAAAAACAAATATTTCATTGATTTATATAGAAACTTGGAAATATGTTGAAATTTTTATTAGACTTGACAAGCTCTAATTCCAACTATTGAATTTTATTTTGAATAGTGTCTTATCCAGGAATGGCAAACATTTATTCTTGGAAGCACTGATATCTTGTAAATGTTTTGATTACGGCAAAAGCCGGTAGAGTAAATTTGATCTTCGCAGAAGTACTGGATAAAATACTGATTTAAAACCAAGTATTATTCAAAAAGTCACTCATAAAAATTTGTCGTATTCATTTCTTCACTCCGACAGAAATTCTTCCGTTTTTTTTAAATTTAATTGGTAAATAAATCTGTTGTACACATCCATTATATCTATAGCAAGTTTCAGCGCATTATTATATATCTCGATAAGTTCAAAAAAAATCGATATTGATTATTCTCCAAAATTATAACTTGATCAAATTATGCTTTTTATCTTGATCATATGATGATTGTGACACATTCAATGAATCACTACTAGAGATCTGTGGGACTAACTTTAGTCCTGGTCTTAGTGATCGGTACTACGAGAAAAAAATTTGCTAGATTATCTTATGAATCATCAATCAAAACATAATTCAAGAGAAATGACCCAAATAAAGTACTAGTCGTAGATGAAATCAATAAAAAAAAACGAATATTGAAGAATGTTTTTCTTAGATGTGATCCGAATAGAGTCTGGAATAGTTTTCTCTATACTAGAACCAGCATCATAAACCTTGGTTTTTCACATATCTAATCAATACTCATGATCATTAACGTTCTGAACATAACACAATCGAACATCAGGAATTCTGAGAACGAAGCGCGACACCTGTTGTACTCAATTTCTATGGAAACATTCCCAATGACGGCTATTGACCTCCCACTTTCGTCGTTAAATTTTGATTTTTTTTTTACTTGAATTATATTATTTATATTTTCTTTGTCTCTTTATGGAAAAAAATTCGCTTCTATCGAATGTAAAATGTATAATTCAGTTAGATATTAACTTAAAATTCTTTGAACTCTACGTTTGATTTTTTGTTGATGCATTCAAATTTTATTTTAACCTTTTTCATTTGTTCCAATTGTAGATGATCTTCTTTTACATGCAGTAAATGACGACGAATTGTAAATGCTGGATTATATTCAGGATCATCTAATGATGATTGTTGATCATTTTTTAAAGAAGAAACTACAAGATACAATGTATATATATATTTTTTTTTTCTCTTAAATTAACTTTAAATACCTCTTGATTGCAAATGAAAACCCATTGCAGTTCGATTAGGCTAAAAGAAATCAAAATAAATAAAAGTAATTTTGTTTTAGTAATAATAATTTACATTTGTTTCACGTGCATCAAAATATCTTAATGTAGTCAAACGATTTTCTTCAAAATTATTATATTGTAAATCACTCTAAACAAACAGAAAATAATCTATTTAAATCTTCATTTATTTTCCTACTGTTCGATCATAACTTGATATCGAATTCATCATTATATTTGGTGAAGATTTTCTTTAATAAAACAAACAGAATAAATTTTGTATATATTAACTTTTATTCTTACATTGATTGATCAATAGTTTCTGAACTTGTAAATTGTCTATCCATTGTTCCTGTACTATCATATGAATCTGTTGATCCATTAGGTAATGATCGTTGTTGACAAAGATAATGATGATTATGTCCATTATTTATTTTAATATCATTACTATTATTACTAGGTAAATTTGGTTCAACACTCGTTGCACGATTTGTACGTATGAATAAGTCATCTACTGTTGAATTATCTATTGATAATGAACGTTGATATGAATTATAATTTTCAATATTATCATTTATTATTGTATTAGATATTGATGATTCAACATTTGATAATTGTCTAGATAATGTTGATGTTGGCCAAGGACGTTCTTTAGATGAAAAATTGAATAATTGAATGTTTCTACTACAAAAAAAAAAAAATAAAATAAAATAGTGAATAAACAGCAAATAAAAATATGAGCATGAGCATGAGCATGAGCAATCTAAAGTCATTATTGTCTAAAGTTTCAATTGTAAATATTGTTGACTACAAAATGAATTATAGAATCATTTGTTTTTATTAGGCAAAGATAAAAATAAAATAAAAACAAATAGTGTACTAAACGTGCATAATATATAAGAAAGCTATGTGAATTATTGATGTCATTCAAGAATTGCTGCTGCACATATATCGACATGATGTGCCGGTTTTATATTTTAACTATAATAGAGGAATAAAATAGATATTGAATGAAAGAATTCGAAAATTTACTTATGAATTATAAATAGTAGTTTTAAAAGTTAAATGTTTCTTTTTAATTTATAACTATTATCCATTTTTGAAAAAAAAAAGCGTTCCGGGAGAATGCATATAACTTTTGAAGGAAAAGTGATGGAGACCTGCGGTTTTTACCATTTGAAAGATGATATCACAGGACGTAGATATAGATCAAAATATGATTGGTCAGCAATCCACCAATCGTGTGAGTCCTTGGTGGCCATTTTCACCATCAAATATTCGGCTTGTTTTCTGATCAATTTGGAATCCGAAAGTGACCATATGATATAGAAAATTGTTGTCTTTCGATCTACACAAGGCCGACTTTTCTAGCCTGTTCCGTTAAAGAGTTATAAGGGTTTTCCTGAGACCCCTGATTTCAGCTAATGAACCTTGGACCAACTCCAAAACTATATGGGATGGGATAATTCATCATGCTGAGTCGAATGGTGATATTTGTTTTTGGATTTGAAACCATCCTACACTGTATTTTATGAATTGTCTACATTTCCCAATATCTACTGCGATGTTTCACATGAGTCCACATTTCGGAAATATTGAGATAAAAGCATAAGCTGATTTTGAATCCAAAAAAAAAATATCACCATTCGACTCAACATGATNTTTAACTAATACATCATCATCGAACTAATGCATTCTTATCTTCCTTTGAGGCATTGTTTTTTTTTTTCTTTTCTTTAATTCAGATTAAAGAAAACAAAATTTGATAAATATATGAACAAAATAATTACCGTGATCCTTGATATGAAAATGAATTACGATATTTTGTATTAATTTCATGTTCAGTTAAAAGTCCACGTCGTTTTTCTTCTTTCATGGCTTCGACAAGAAGAAAACGCATTATATGAAGCAAACCAAGTGTACAAACCTTTACAAAAAAAAAAGAACGAATTTTTAAAAATCAAATTATAAAGTTTTCTTTTTGTTACCGATGCTGGTGGACTTTCTAATGGATTATATTCTACATTAAGTTCAATTAAACTAACCATTTCTCGTAAATTTAATGGTAAACGAATAATTCGATTAAATGAACAATCAAAATGAATTAATTTTAAATTACATAATTCTAAAGATATTAAAAAAAAATAAAATAATAATAAGATAAAATAAATAGAAAATCTTTCAGCAAGAATAAAAAAACCTTGAAAAAAATCAATGCGTGCAAAAGAAAAATTTCTCTTGTAGTTTAGTGTAATATTTTTTTTTTTTCTTGTTTAGGCAAAAATAAAAAAAGCATTGAGGGTTTAAGCAATACCTGTCTTTTGAAAAAATATAATTAAACTGAATAAAATACTAATTTGATTATAATTTTTAAAGAGAAATTAATTATGATTTTTTTTTTTTTAATATTTACCTGTTGGTAATTCAATAATCATATTTCGACGAATATTTAATGTACGTAAATATTGTAATGATCCAATTTGATATGGTAATTGTGTTATATCATTTGTACTGACATCCTATTGAAAGAATTTGAATAAAATTTAAAAAAAAAAAAAGAGATTTTCTTGTTTCATCGATGTATCTATTTTTCTGAATGATTTCAAAATTTTACTGAAAAACATTAATTAAAAAGTAATGATCACTAGAAACACTTTGATTTACGAATGTTAGTGTAGGTATTGGACTTTTGTAGGCTCAAACATTTCATTAGATGAATCGATTTGAGCAGAATATTACATTTTTACTGCAAACGCCAATATTTTTCGTTAGCTAATAATAGAAGAGTCTTAATCAATCAGGCTTAGAAAACATTAATTTATGTATGAATATTCGATCATACATTGGCAATGAAATGATGTTCGAATCCTTCATAAAAATAAAGAAGAATGGTTGACAAATCTAAGCTAGATTTTGTCAAAATTTCTCTTCGTCTAAGATTAAATGCCTATTAAATACATCCAGCATTAAAGAAGCTTACAATGCAATATCTTCTTTTTTGTGGAACATTTCTCCTTCGTCATTGAGCATTTCCATTAAAGTAGATCAAAACCTCTTCTTTCGAAGGTCACATTTCGATGAACATTGCATTGCCAATGCACATCCGGACTAGAGGGCAGGCATCAACAACTTAATGCAAATATTACTACTTCAAATGCAAACTAATATTTAATGATTAATGAATTAAAGAAAGCTGTCTAGTTCAACCCCTGCAGAATTAACATGTCAAACACAGTATAACTGCTGTTACTAATCATAGGGAGATTGTTTTATTCTATGACACATTTTCTAACCATACTTTTACTTAATCCTTCAGAAATGCAATAAAGAAAATAATTTATATATTATAACGAGGCGTTATTCATTCATATATTCGTCTGTGATCATATGTTAACAACATCTGTCACGCCCTGTGGGAGGTCTAAATTTTTACCTCTATATTTCTTTTTGATGATATTTTACGAAAAATTATACGTTCAATAAGTAAAATATTATTGAATAAAATGTACCGATGAAACACAAGATCAAATTAACAAAAAAAAAAAAAAGAAATGAAATCTTACTAATTCAATTAATTTTTCTAATTGATCAATTTCTTCGGGTAATGAAACAAGTTTATTATTATTAATAATTAAAACTTCTAGATTAGGTAATTTACATAATTGTGGTGGAATATAAGCAAGTTGATTTCGACTAAAATTTAAAAAAGAATTGTTTTTTTGTTTAAAACAAGAAAAATATTCGCGTCTACCTTAAATCAAGAATTTTAAGCATACGAATTTGTATAATTTGTTCAGGTATTGACTTAATAACATTATGATATAGATTAAGACGTTCAAGAGAAAAAAATGAACATAATATACGTGGAAATTCAATAAAATGATTACGAGAAAGATCTATAAAATATAATAAAAAAAAAAAAAATTTCTTTTTTTTTTGTTTATTCTTTACGAAATAAAAAACAACAACAAACCAGCTAGAATTGTATCGGATAAATCACATTTATTATTTGTATAAGAATAATTTGGAAATTCTCGAAGTTTACGACCATTCAAAACAAGTTCACCTGTATAAGCAGCTTCATCAAGTGCACGTTCAATACTTCGACTTAAATTATGAATAGATTTTGTTTTATTTGTATTTAGAATATTTGATGTTGAACAATCATTTGATAATGAAGATGTTGTTGCCATGCATAAACATTCGAAATTTTAGTTAAAATAATTATTGAAAAATCTAATCAATGACAATTTTATAATAAAAATCATATGGATCGATCTATAGAAATGTTTTTTCTTTCTTTATTTATTTACAATATATATATATATATATCTTATATGAATACTGAAAACCAATGGAAATTTTTAGAAAGATGTCGCATGTTAAAGAGAATAGCTCAGCTGAAAACTATATGGAAAATTAATCGAATCGATAAGATAGATAGATAAATAGAATCTTTTTTTTTTCAGTTTTCAAAATAAGTTTATTCAATACTTAGATCATATTATTAAAATTAATATATATATATCATTAAAAGAAAGCAATACGATATAATGATAATGATACCGATCATCATTTCTATACATGAACTAATAGATCTGATATAATAGGTAATATATTGGTTAGATGATTAGTCTATGAATGAAAGAATTTATTTATAAAAACAACAAACAAATACCTTCTATTGATATGAATATTACTCTATCATTGATCTTCTCACTTTCTTTTGCTTTCTATCCTTTGCATTCTCACTCTCTTGTTTTTTCCTATGTTCATCGTTCTCCTATATAAACTTGTACTGACTGTGAGATAAACACATTTTGGAGATATTGAGTAACTCAATAAACATCATTACCGAGAGTAGTAATACAGCTACTACTTCTGTTATTTTTGGTTACATACTTTTCATAATATTGTAGGCGATTAGCAGAGAAATTTGCTGTTTTATTGTTTCATTGGGTTTTTATCTTATTGTCTGTTTATATATTAATTGAGAAAATGAAGTAACGATGTTCACATGATTACAGATGTTTTTTCTCATGATATCTGTATGCAATCAACGAACCAACGATTCATCATTGTTTCAATGCTGCTATTCATTTCTTCTATCCTGAGTATGCTCGATAGATGTCTATGGTTTGATAATATCGCATAAAAACAAAAATATTTCGATGATTTAAATGCATCAGATTAATTGTCTGAAGATTCACTACATGTCAATCGAAACTAAGCATAGTTAATGTCACGTTCCAAAAATTAGATGCTCGACAATAATCGAGATCGACAGTTTGAAATATTTATCAAATGAGACACTTTAAGTGATTTAATTTTAGGTCATAGATGTATTTTTTCGTTTATTATGAAGTTAGAAAACTATACAAGAAAAAAAAAATTCGTAAATAAAAAATTAAACCATGAATATTTCACTCATAGATATGCAGAATCTATCTGTGTGTACGAACGGCCGTTCGGAGATATTTGAAAAAATTTAGTAATATCAAGGGAAATTTTTTTGAACAAATCTTTTCTCTCATAGGAAATTTTTTCCAATTTGCTAAACGAGTTCTGGTTTATTTCTATATACATTGATAAGATCTTCTAATTTTCTTTTTTCTTTTCTCTTCATCATACTTCTGAAAGATTCATCCGTGTTTTTATCATAGTATCAGTATCATCTACCTTTCTTGATGTTCATCATAATCATCTTGTCACTTCTTTCGCTCTGTCTCTTTGTGATTTTTATTGATACAACACGCACTATTTTTGTTCTCCTCTATTCTTTAATGGAATGCCACTACTTGCCGATTTTTCTCTTTTGCTACATACAGTTGCTATTCTATGTGTATATGCATGATGGCAGTATTTTTTTAATGTGTGAAAAAGTGGTAGTTGTTTTTTTTGAGGAAACATCTTAAATGAGAAAACTTGTTTTTTAATTGGATTTTATAACGGGGGACGAGGGAGGGGGGGCGTTCGCAAAAATTTTGCCGTTTGAGAAAAATCTTTATTTTACCGGCAAATTTTGCACGCCGGATTTCATGTATAGGCAAATTTCCACAATACAATGATTACCAAAAAATTCTATTTATCACAAATAATTTATAATGGAAGAGTGTGTTATGTAAAACAAGAATATTAAACATATTCGAGTTAAATGAACGGACTCACAAGCAGACTAACAAATTTTAAATATGATCCATTTTAGGATATACATGAACTGATAGATTCGATTTTTACGATGTATCTAATGCACCAACGATTTATAATTCTAGAAGAATTTATTTATGCTTTTGTCGTCATTATTTGATAGAGCTCGTTGAGTAATATAAAAAAAAGTATGTTTCAAATATAGAAAAAAAATTTTTTTAAGAGTTTTCAAAGTATAGGGAAACACAGACATATCTTTTTTTACATGTGAAACACTTTTTCTCATGTTACTTGATGATTTCTATCTAACTATGACGAAAAGAGAAACAATAAATGCTTCTGAAGTTTTGAATTATTACCACATTACATACATTGTAAATACATCAAATTTGGAGAATCTCGGTTCATGCACGCCATAATCAGTTCATATTTTAATTTTGTTAGTTTTTCTGTCAGACCTTTTATTTGATCCGAATATGTCCAATGTTCTTAAGTTACAAAAAAATATCTTTTCATTGTTAGAATAGATTCTTAAATATATCAAGAATATAAACACATTCTGTTCTAACTATTCTGCAGTGATCCGTTGCTTAATCTCATCACGAAGTAATACAAAATTCTTATTTTAATTTTAACAACGATGCTCGATACTTATAAAATCTTATTCAATCACTTTATTCAATTTCAGCAACTACAACTAGTATCGCACACTGGTTTAGTGTTGGTAACTTGATGGCCAACTTCCTACGTACTTAATCAAATTCACGAGAAGTAAACTAAGCGTCGTTCATACGTTCAGTTAGGAAAAAATAAATGGTGGTTATTCATTTTGATTTCATTATACACTTTGTTCCTAATTATATGTATTAAATGAATTTTATTTCATCTTAGGAAATAAAAGAATCGGTAATTGCTACATGCGGACGAAAAAATGCATAGAAAAAAAAAACGTCCGTTTTTATGTTAGATTTTTGGTGAGACGAGACGTTTACGAGGTAGTCTTGTAGCTGTTTCACGGATTTCTTATGCTCATGTATATTTAATTCTATATTTTTATTTCGTTTATTTATTTTATATGATTCTAATAAATCTTTTCTGTGTATTTCTTTCTAAAATAGAAAGAAAAATAATTTTTTCTTGTAATTCAAATTTTTTTTTTTAATCAACATCTTTCTATTTCAATTGATCTTTCCTAATAACATATTCAAATAAATTCTAATTAGTCGAACTCCTAAAATTTCAATTTCTTTCTCATTAAATTCAATATATTTTATTATTCTTGTTTATATAGTATGTTTTTTTTCTTTCATTCAATGAAAGAAATACTTCATTTCATACTTCATTCTCTTTACATTCATTGTATTAATTCAACTCGACTTGATTATCTTTGTCAGTAGTAAAATAATTTCTTATGTATACTGATATGGATCTTCATTCAATTTCAGTCGATTTAAATGGTTATCCAATTGCCGAAGTACAATCATCACGTTCATCAATTCAATTAAAAACAATTGATTATAGTGAATTATTACGTAAAATAGCTGGTATTAATATTGCATCTTTAACTTGTACGATTATTTGTATTGTTTTTGATTTAATTGTTACATTGATTATATTGAGTATGGGTGCATTTAATCAATCATCGTGTCCAATAGAATCTCGAATACCAATTTATTTAATTGTATTCAGTAGTGTTAATCTTGGAAGTATATGTTTTACTATTGTTGCTAGTATAATTCATTATCGACAAGATGATGAAAATTTAATTGGATTTTATTATGTTCATTGTTCAGCTATTATTATTATAATATTACAATTATTTAATTATATTTGGCTTATTATTGGAAGTATTTGGATATTTCGAGTTTTTAAATATGTACAATATGAACAAATAAATCAAACAACTTATTGTCAAGAAAATTTTTATCAATTTTCAATGGTTTCAACTATTTTACAATATGCTCTTTCATTTGTATTTTGTGGTTGTAAAAATCTACCTTGGAATTTTTGAGAAAAACAAAAATTTCAACAAAACTTTTACTAATATGTTTGATTAGTATGTGTTAGATTTACTAATGCAAAGAATTAAATTTTGAAACTTTCAAAATAGGTAGATCAAAAGTTGTTAAAGACTCAATATTCTTGTATGTCGCGTTCTATTGAATATAGAGGTCAAAATAATAGTTTTTTCCTCCTGTTCTTCATCATATAACGTTTTATCGAGCTGAAAAAAAATTTTTTTTTTTTACAATAAATGGGTGCTGTTATTAAAATGGATATGTTCTTTTGGCTTTCTTATGCCATTTGTCCTTGGAATGCAAAAAATCATCGAAACAATATTTTTTGAAAACAAAGAAAAAATATCTACATCAAATAGAATCTAGTAGATTTTAAAAAAAATTCAGCTCGATACCTCTTCTATAATGCTGAAGAAACGAATGTGGAACGATGTGTTTTCTTTTTCGTATAAGAATAAATATTGAGAAAATGCACAAAAAAAAAAATTGAATTTTCATTTTCTCCTGTGCGCTCATTACGTTGCAGGTTTTCGATTATTACACATTCGATGAGTTTACCTTGGACAGAGAGAGATGAAAGAGGACGGAAAGTAGTTAGCAAACGAGCAAATGACTGACGAACAAATGAAAGACACGCAACATACATTTTGAATCCGTTATATTCAATAGATCTGGAATGAACTCGATCAAATAACTTAAATAAAGCCAAACGGTGTTTCATATGTTCCTACATGCGACTTTAGCCTATTCATCGAGTAAAAGTAAGATAACTACAATCAGATTAAATACAAAGACGTAAAATTTTAAAAAAAGCAGTAAAAAGTCGAATTTTTTTCAGGCAATGAGTCTCCAAAATCGTTTTTCTGAGATCAAACCGTTGTCAATAGTTCAAAGTATGTATATCAATGAAAAACAAATGCGTTTCCCATATATATTCAATCGTAATAATCAACAATCATAAAACTTCAAGAAGATTAATCATAGGAGTACATACATCATAACGAAAATGGTCTTATTGAAATATTATTATTATTATTATATTAGTTGAAGAATGATCGAATACAATAAACAAATCAAGCATTGTTTATACTATCAGACTAAATAGAGGGAAAATTTCTTCAAATTTTTTATAAAAAGAACTAAAATATGTATTATCATGATCATCGTATTAATTTTTATAAATAGTAACTTTAACACTGTCTACATGATATAACAGATAAATACTTGCTCCATAATGAAGTTCACCATGGTTAGCTTAGTTACATTTGTAATGAACTATTCTTCTATTTTCTCTATGGTTCCTATATTGTATTGATTATTCATTTGCAATTGATGCTTCTGGTTCATTAGCATTATCAAATATATCCTCTTTAGGTTAACATTCTGATTTCTTTTCTTCTAGAAGGTCTTTCATTGCCATTTATATTATAACTTTCCTCCACAATCTCTTCATCTGATATATCACTTTCAGAAAGTATAAATATATGTATGCCATACAAGTCATCTATGATACATACTCTACGAGGAAAGAAGAAAAAAATGAATCCTATTATAACTTATTTTTGACCTTTAAATTTATTAAACAAGTCAACTTCATCAATGATTGACCCATTGAAGTTATTTACTGATAATTGATTATATTTTACTGACGAAATATTTTGTTGCGGCGTCTCCCGCCCCCCACCACCCCACGCCAACAAGACAATCGACGCAGAACAACAAGCTACA